GGGGAGACCCGAGGGAGAACAGGCAGAAAAAGAGCACAGGGGCGCTAAGATGGTCATCAGGGCAGCTCCTTCTGGGCCTAGCTGGATCCCTCTGCCTTCGCCGACAAACTCCAGAAGCTGCCAGGCATCCGGGCCGAAGGTCCCCAGGTCAGGCCAGAGCTGTACTGCTCTCACTTTCTGTGGAAGGCTGGGCTTGAGGAAGCTTCCTGGTCTGGCAGGGGATCAGGGTGGGGATTGTCCACGGCGGTGAGTACGTTATTGTTTCAAACACTGTTTTGTCTCAAAAGTGAGAGTCCCGGCTCCTGCCTGGAGGAGGTGCCACTGGGCAGCTTCAGGGGGCTATGGTGTGGACTGGGCCACTCCACGGAATCCATTTGGGGTCAGTGCTTGTCCTCTTGCCTCTGAGCTTTGTCCAGCTGGTGGATGCCGTTTGCAGAACCGGAATTGCAGATGGTCTGGGCCTTGTCGGGGCAGCTCCTCACGGCCTCCATCAGCTTCTCCACCTGCTGAGCCTGGTCCAGCGCGTCCCGCAGGGCGTCCTCCGTGCTCATCAGCTGGTGCTGCAGCCTCAGGAGCTCGGGCCCACGCCCGAGGAGGAGGGGTCGATGAGGGAGTAGTGCCTCTGATCCCACAGGGGCTTCTCCTTGTCCAGTCCCATCAGCTTTTCACGCAGGCCCTGGATGTCGTCCTTGAGATTCTGCTCCTGGATGCGCCATTCAGCCTTGTGCACCTCGCTGCTCAGGTCCCTCTCGGGCCCCGGGGAGTGGAGACTGGCTTCCAGCAGCAGCACCCGCAGTTCGTTCAGGCTCCGCTCCTTCCGCAGCAGCTCCTGGCTGATGAGGACCAGCTGGCCCGAGGCGTCGTGGGTCTTCCGGGACATGGCCTCCAGCTCCGCCTCCAGGCGCCGCTTCTCCTTCGGGAGGGCGTCCACCTTCTCGCCGGGCTTGCACTTGCTCTCCAGTGCACGTACTTGGGCCCTGAGCATCTCGGTCTGGGAGGTCAAGGCTGTCACCTCTTTGTCCCTCTTGTGCAGCTTGTCCTGCAGGCCCTCCACGGTTTCCTTCGTCCTGATCGTCTCCTCTGAAATGTCATTCGACTCAATCATGTGGGTGTGCTGGGAGGAGCACAGGGCCTCTACCGCCTGGAGTCTGTCCTCGGCCACCAGG